CTCTGAAATTTGATCTAACCAAAGCCGAAAAAGCTAACGTAATTGGAAATCGTGGTATTTTTAATATGAATGCTAGATGTTATGAAGAGGCTGTCGAGAATTTTACAAAGGTAAATTTTAATTGCGAAAACTTTTAATATATTACGATTTCAATAAATTTAATTTAATTTTTATATTAATAATTTTTTATTTTTCGATTAGGCATTGAAATTACAAACCGATAATGCAACTGTGCATCGTAATAGAAGTAGCGCTTATCGCATGTTAAGAAAACTGGATAATTCTATAGAGAATTTGGAACGAGCATGTCTCATTGATCCGGGCAATGTTTATCAATATGGAATACACAGAGCTTTATATATGGAATTAAGAAGATGGAGCGATGCCATAACAAATCTCGATTTTGCCGTACGATATCATCCCAAGAGTGCCACTACTTATTCTAATCGTGGCGAATTATTATTTAAGCTAAGAAGGTATAATGAAGCTTACATCGATATTAAAAGGCCTTAGAATTGATCCTCAACATATGATTTCTCGATAGAGATTTGTCGAAGAATGGGAGGTTACCCGAAAGCCTTGTCTACGACAAACAAAGCCTTGATTTTACACCCCAAGAATAAAAATATCTTGATACTTCGCTCCGAAATCTATTATCATCAGAATTCCTTTAAAGAAGTTCTCAAGGATTTAGATAGCGTTATTAAACTTTCTCCGAAAGCATGCTCACCACTTTGTTGTCAGTCCGAAGTACATTCTAAACTGAAAAGCTATGATTTTGCTTTAGACGACATCAATCAGGCGTTGACAATTAGAGCATCAAATCCTTATGCTTATGAGATACGTGGCATTATCTATCGTAAACTTGGAAAGTATAACGAAGCTTTAAATGATTTTAATAAATCTTTAGAGTTGTTACCATTAAATGCTACTTACCTTGATTCGAATGACCATAACAAAAGGGCTAAACGAAACCATTCAGGATGCGATGAAGGGTACACTTTGATTTTTAAAATGCAAGGAGAACGAAATTTTGCAAGTATATATGCAAGGCGTGGAGCAACATTATTAGCGTTGGAACGTTATGATGAGCCATTATCGGATCTGAATCAAGCATTTGCGTTACAATCTGAACATTTACTTGCTTTGAAGAAGCGAGCATGCGTTTATCAAAGTTGGGTAAACTAGGTTTAGCGTTAAATGATATTAATAGATTTTTGGGGCTGAGAAAAAAGTACAATATAACTGGATTTCGTAAATCAGATAGCACTGCCGGGATTAGAATTCGTGATAGCATAGAATCCGATGTAATAAGCGAATCTGGATCAATTTGAAACTTTTTGGAAAAAGGGTTTAAGAACATTATTATATAATTAAAGCTTTTTTTCTTATATTCATTCATTGTATTATAAATATGAAATAGACAATAGAGATGAAGCAAAGTAGAAATTTTTTTTTTATTTATTTTTTTAAAAAAAAAGAAACTTTTTATTCGAATGCTGGTCATAATAATAAATAAAAAGTGAGATAATTGCCAACTAAATTAGGTATATTATGAGCTGGCCATCATCCTAATATAACAAA